CGGGAAAATCAACACCAGATGGCATGCTCAGGGCAAAGATTTAAAGACCTTAATATTGACACTAATAGTGATTTTAACATTTCACATCTGTCCAGGGCCCCAGGGAGAGCTGAGTTTCCTCTATCTGTCTCAGGGAAAGGACACATTTGTTCTTTTTTATAGTAACCCACCTTCAGGGAAGTCACTCCAGACCAGCATTGATGTGTTCGTAAGTGGGGAGTACCCCAGGACCTGTTATCTCCCTGGGCCTCACACCTTTCATGTTCTGCCGTCTCAACAGTGCGTGCCGGGGCCGGCTCCACTAGCACACGGAACTAGAGGAATACCACACCCAAAGCTGTCACCTCCATTCCTCGTTTGTCACCTGCAGAATTTTGTGGTGGATGTTTTCAGTGTCTTTTCCAGACATACCGTCCAGCAGTTCTTTCTATGACTTCCTACAGTTCTGGGAGCACCTCTCTTCGTCAGGGTCTTCTCATCTGGAGTCATCATTGCCCACCTGTGAGCGGCACCTGAGCTCTGGGTGCAGAACTTTGAGCAGTGAGGGACTGAGATGGTACATCAGTTTCCCATTTCTGTAAACCCTCCGGTAAAATGCCACTGACAGATCAAACTCAAGCTGCATACAGTGGCAACCTGATTAAAACGAAGACCCTTTCTGCCTGATCGGCTTCCTCTCAGTCTCCAGGGCCTGGCCAGTGTCACCTGGGATCACCTTGCATGGGATGCAAAGCCTTTGCTAAGCCTGGTTTCTGAAGGAATCCAAAACCTTAGTGTATCATGTTTCAAGCATAAGGGAGAAAGCATGGAGTTTCATTTCTTTGCCTGTGTCCTGCTTCCCCTGAAGGCAGTAATAAATGAAGGGAACTAAGGTTCTAAACGCTGGGACACAGAACAGTCATTAGAAAATGTGTCTGACATTGTGTACAGAGAGGTAAAATAGGCACAGGTCCTGCATTCACATCCAAAGATAGAAGTAAATTGGTGACAGTGGCCCCTGGCAGCTCACTGAGTGTCATGGTTTAGCAGCCTCATCTGGGAAGAGCCCCTTCAGGGAGGGGGAGGATCTTTTTTTTCACATAGATGGCAATGGTTGTCATCTGAGCCTTCACTGTGTAACAAGGTAAAGGCGGCAACTCCCCTGCTTAGGAATCGCATTAGCTTGGTTTTCTCTTCAAGTTTTAGTAGGGAGTTTTTGATTGGGGAATATAACATGTATATATATATATAAGCACATAAAACAAGCGAATGACTTCAATTATCACAAAGTGAGCAAACAGCCACGGGAGGCTCAAGAGACAGAGTTTCAAGTACCCAGATCCACCTTCATCCTGGCTGGGACTTTACCTCTGTGGCTAATGGTCAGTCTTTTTTAAAATGTGGATTCACAGTGCAGGCATTTACCCTCCAGTTGTCTTATTTGGGAGGCTTTATGTCGATTGAGGCATTTGTTGGGTGCGTAAGATCTTTTGGTTGATATTGTAGATTTAGGGCTACTCATGTAGTTTCTCATAGCTGCAGTTCATAGATGATCAGCAGTACCCAGCAGTTTATTGTAGAGATTATCAGATCTGATCTCCTCCATCTGATAGGCATCTGAGCCTTCTTTTCAGGCTATATGAATTCTTATGACAGAGGTACTCATTTCCTGCTTCAGCTATGACAGATTATCACAAACTAAGTGGCTTCGAACAATACAAAATCTGGTGGTTCTAAAGAGAGATCTCAAATGCATTCATTGAGGTGTGTCCCTCTGCAGGTCCCAGAGGAGAATGCAGTCTCATCGTCAAATCCCCGACTTCTCCACTTCTTTCAATTCGCTTCTCTCATTTAATGTAACAAACTCATTTGCTCATGCTTGGAGGCTGTTTCCATCTGATACACATGCTCTGGTACACATGTGCACGCATTTGTGTAGGACAGCTACGCGAGTCAGGCCTTTCCCAGTGACAGATCAGGCTGTTGTTTCATAAAACACCTCTCTGCTGCACCCGAGTGTGGATTATATTTTCCCACCACTTGTCCTCGGGTTACCTCTACAGCTCTCTGTGTCAAGGGTTAAACAGAAGTGTCATGAGCACAAGCAGAAACCTGTCTGCATGGCTGGCTTGCCCATGAGCACCCCAACAGTCCACTAGGAGTGGGCAATGCCCTGCGGAGTTATTGACATAAAGACTACGGCATTGGAGGCAAGGGTGTCCCTCTCAATACGGACCACGAAGGAGAAAAAAAAAATGCTTGAATTTATGGATTGCATTCAATCTGTAAGATCAATACGAAGAGAAAGTATTTTCCAATCCATGAATATGGTATGTATCTCCAGTTTTGTTTTTAATGTAGCATGGCATGGTCTCCTCATCAGGGTGTAATACATACAGGATGTAATAATAAATACACCACACTTGGTGTATTTATTCTTAGGTGCTTGTCTTAGGATATCTATTGCTTTAATAAACACTATGAACAAAAGAAACTTGAGGAACAAGGGGTTTACTTCATCTTACACTTACTGGTAACTACATCACTGGGGAAAGTCAAGGCGGGAACCTGGAGGCTGGAAGTGGAAGAGACAGCACAGAGGAGTGATCTTTACCGGCTTCATCATCCCGACTCTCATTCTGTTCTTATACCCACCTGCCCAGGGGTGACATCACCCACAATGCGCTGGGCCCTCCCCATCAATCATCAATCAAGAAAATGACCTGCAGGCCCATCTACAGGCCAATCCTATGGCAGCATTTTCTCAGTTAGGATTCTTTCTTCCCAGCTGACCTACCTTGTGTCCAGTTGACCCAAGGCTAGTCTGCACAGCGCTGGGTATTTTTAGATACTGTAGACATTTTTAAAGATTTTCTAGCTGCGTTTGGATGGCATATTAAAATGTAATTTTTGGGGGCTGGAGAGATGGCTCAGAGGTTAAGAGCACCGACTGCTCTTCCAGAGGTCCTGAGTTCAATTCCCAGCAACCACATGGTGGCTCACAACCATCTGTAATGAGATCTGGTGCCCTCCTCTGTATACATAATAAATAAATAAATCTAAAAAAAAAATGTAATTTTTGAAATCTATTTAAGAGTCATTTCTGCATTTTTATTTGTATGCTTGACAGTCTAATAGATTTAACTATGTTAGATACACAATTTTTTAAATTGGCACAAAAATTGTATAGACATATGGGGTACTGTGTAATTTTTAATACACATTTCACTGTGTAATGTTCACAGTGTATAAAGTGTGTATAAACACCTATAGCTCCTTCCTTATTCTTTGTGGTAAGAATATTCAAATTTCCCTTGTATCCTCTTTGAAATGTGCAGTACATTGTCCTCTAAGGCTATGGAATGTGCTGTTGATTGCACTTTCTGACTTTGATCAGTTTGTTTTGGCATTTTTGCTTGCTTGTTTTTTGAGGTAGAGCCTTATTCTGTAGTCCCAGTAGGCCTCAAACTCTCAGAGCTTTCCAAGTACCCTGGAGTACAAGGGTGAGCCACCAAGCCTGGTTTTCATACTGATTTTATTAGTAACTTTGCCAACTCTTTATAGTTTATATAGCAATTCTTTAAATTTTTTTTTTCTTTGTGGCTGTTGAGATGGCTCAGCTGTTCTTCCAGAGGTCCTTAGTTCAATTCCCAGCAACTACATGGTGGCTCACAACCATCTCTAGTGGGATCTGATGCCCTCTTTTGGCATAAAAGTATACATGCAGATAGAGCTCTCATATACATAAAGAAATCAATCTTAAAATTTTTTTCTTTGCACATTTGTATCCTTCTGAGCAGTACCTTGTTACTTTCTATCATCGGTTCCTCTGCACTGTCTCCGGCAGCACACAGCACATTCCCACGGGTCCCCATTGACTGCAGGGGACACTTCCTGCTGCATCCACACTAGGCTTGGTCATGTGGTTTGCTGTGCCCAGGGGCACACACTGTGAGAGGCTGGAATGTTTGAGCAACTGAGCTTGCTATTGTGCACCTGAAATCACAGTAAGGATACGCCTGAGATTAGTTCCAGAAGTGGAACCAAAACTGTTCAAAAACTGGCAGCCCTGGACTTAAGTGAAGAATCCTAAAACCATCCTTGCTGATGAGTTAGTCTACTGGCATATGAGTAAATGTGTCTGATGTACCACCAGGTAGCTTTGTTTTGTAGTTGATGGCTAGACAACACTGCTGTGACATTAGCTGACTTACACAAATTGTGATAGAAGCAATGCTTTTCATTTATCATACTTGTATGTTTTATAAAATGAAGATGATCACTATTGACGCATTTGCTTAATGACTTAAAAAAACTTCATTACATTTTGTGTTGTGTGTGCTTGTGGATACACCTGAACCAGACCCAGCTTCTGACGTCAATTCTATAACATGCCAATAATCTACCTACTGTTCACATTGGAACTCAGCTACTGATGTCAATTCTATAACATGCCGATAATCTATCCACTGTTCACATTGCCATTTTTAACAGTTTTTTTCCCCTCTATTTTCACTTATTTTGTTCTTCTCTATGAAAACTTTGAGGTGGATGTACTGTCTTCAATTTTCACCCTTTCCATCTTGCTAGAAGCATTTACAGGCAGAGGAACTTCTGAGGGCTGCTGCAGCTTTATCCAGACTAGTCTATAGAGGTGGTTATTTCAAAATAAAATACAAAACTACATCCTGGAGTGCCATGCAGTTATAAAAATTGAGTCTTGATAGATAAACAGAACCAAGAAACACTGTACAGAAAATGTGCAGGATGGCTCACTTCTGCCCGTGGCGAGAACTAGGTGGGGGAGGAGAATGGTGGCATCTTGTAAAACAAAGCAGATTTTTAGTCTCATAACCACTTACTCTCCTCAGCAACATCTTATATACTTACAAAGTGAGTTAAAAGTCACAGATCTATGAGTTACCTGTAATTTAAATAAGGAAGAGTTGTTTCATGAACTCAAATGACTTAAACAGGGGAGGGACACAAAGGCGGTCCAAACATCCACAGAAAGGCTTGCAACAGTTTCAGCTGTTTTTATTTTCTCACTTAACATCACAAACAAAAGGACAACACATCTCACACTATTGCTTTTACTTGAAACTCAAATGCTTGATGCAAAATAGACAAAATTTTAAGTTGCCAGCCAGTACTTTCCCTCCAGGGAACACTACTGCTTAAATATTTGTCAGTACTTTAACAAAAACATAGACCTACCCTACCAAAGGTAATGTGGTTGTTGGGTACCACCTACACTACATTTGAAACTTTTTTTCTCAACAAAAACTGGAGGCAGAAAAAACCAAACCACAAGGCATGATATTTCTCACGCATGAACAAGCCCACTCATCTCCATTTAAAAGCTGCTTGTGTGGAGACTCCACACATGAACGTGACACAAAGCCTCACCAGCCACAATATTCTTCATGGGTTAGAAGAGGGCATCTATCCCGAGGACCCAGCTGCTGGTGCTCAGTCACGATCACGAGAATCAAGATTATCACCCTCCAGGCACCGCTCTTCGGTGCCATGACACCTCCCACAGAAACGAGCAGGTGCTTTTCACACCCAAGTAGTGTGGTTTTTCCCTTGAGCAAAGCTTTTAATCAAAGTCTCTTTCACAATGGACAGAACGGCATGAATGGTGGCCAACACTGAAGGAAGAATCATGAGTGCATACATTTTCGTAGAAAAATACATACAAATCCAAGTAGCTACTAAAATAGAAAGAAAAAAAAACAGGGTAGGGATTATTAAGAAAAAGATTCTGATTTCCAAACTGTAAATGGTGCCAGTTGAAATTCATTTTTATACCTAGCTGTACTGTTACATTTATTTACAAGGAGGCGGGTCTGGATTCAGTGACCCCGGTGTCTCCCATTTTTAAAAAGATTGTCTTTGAAAGCATCTGAACTGGAAATGTTGCAGTTATATTTTTATGCTGCTCTTGTCACTGGTAAAATCTCTTCAACCTCGCACATACGAAAATTCATTTCCACATTGATTTGTTTCTACTAAAACGAACATAACTTCCCTGCTACTTTGATGCTGTGACCATCAATTGCTGCGCTGTCATTTCCTAGTTCTAGACACAGATGAAGACCTACCCATGGGTTTTCAAACTACATAATTCTGGCACCTTTGAAACTGTGTCTTCCTCCCTGCATTTGCCTAAACTGTCAGCCAGAGGGTTCGTGCCACAGTCTCATGTACAACCAGTGACGGTCAAATTCTAGAACTCTGAAGCCGTCATTGGCTTATAGATCAGTTCACTGTGTATCTGAAATGGTTAATGATAATTTCAGTAAAAAACAAACAATATCTGTAATGTACAAACAAAGGAGAATTAAGACTGTGACATTAACTAAACTATGACATGTCCTTAATATCACTAGAGGTTTTCTGCTGGGAAATGCTTTATTACTTAAAAATGTCCTCCGTCACCTTTCAAGTACTCTTTTTATTAAATAGGCTGATAAAGAGTTCAATCAGTTCAAGATCTAAGCTGTTGAAAAATTAAAATAAATGGTAACTATTTTTAGTGCAAAAGTTAAAGACTTACACAACTGCTTTCCATGGAAAAGTTAACACTATAATACAATGAATGGTAATGGCGGACATATGCTCCTCGTTAGGGTTTTGTTACAATATATCATAAAACATGGACAACAAAAGATTTTTCAAAAGTGAAATGAATATATTACCAGGGTTGAGAAAGTCCCCTATAAGAAATCAATTATTGGCCGGGCGGTGGTGGCGCACGCCTTTAATCCCAGCACTCGGGAGGCAGAGCCAGGCGGATCTCTGTGAGTTCGAGGCCAGCCTGGACTACCAAGTGAGCTCCAGGAAAGGCGCAAAGCTACACAGAGAAACCCTGTCTCGAAAAACCAAAAAAAAAAAAAAAAAAAGAAATCAATTATTAAGTTCCTATAATACTGAAAAGCTAAATCCTTTCTCGTATTATAAAACAAACCTACTTTTAGAAAAAGTTTCATCTTCCATAAGGAAAAACAATTTTAACCCATGTATTGTAATGCACGTGCTATGCAACACTACAGCTGTGGCTTTCCCGTGGGACATCTGTACCATTCTCTCTTCGACCAGCGTGAAGACAGGAACTTATCAAAAGACATGAACAAACTGTTGGAAAATACCAAATCTTCCTCTATCACATGAGCTAGTCTTTAGATACCTGATATTAAAAGATGTGCAAAATATCACCATGTTTGAGATTAAATTATTATATTGTCAACCGGTTTCCACAGGACATAAAACTGCCTCACAAGCCAATAATCTTTCCTAACTTTAGACTCTTTTAACTTTGCTCTGAGAACAAATCTCCAAAACTTGCCAAGAGGAAACCTCATCATGTATGATCCCCAAAAGTACTTGCTGCCCTCCTGAGATTGGGGGGAGTAAAGCTATACAAACGCACAGTCATGGTCCAGGCTACGGCACCCACAGCCTGTTAATCGGGTCCCCACAACATTACCCAGAAACACCAGAGTCAAGGCAAGGGCAAGCAAAAGTGAAGAGCAAGCCAAACACGCCAGTGATGGAAAACAGACATTCTGAGAAAGCTCTAAGTTTTCTTCCTGTGTAAGCTTCAAAGACAGTTTGATCTTAAAAGAAACCATGTTTCCAAAGTCCGGATTTTCTGAGTAGATGCACCTCCTTACTAATGCAGAGACAGAGGACCTCACAGCTGTGAGGAAGGTTCTCTATACAGCTGATAAAAAGCAAATACTGAGCAAGAGTAAATGCTTAGAAACCTTGAAATAAGACCTCTAAAGTGTGTTATTCATAAATGAAAAGCTAGTCTCCCACACTACCATTCTCTCATTTTCTGTTATGGTCAGCCATCAGAGAAGGAAGCCATGGTTCTTCACCCTCTGACAGAGCCATGCTCCCCCCACTCTACAGAAAGGACATCCTGACAAGTGCTGAGACTCAAAGAAAGCCTTAGGGCTCACCTGGTGCCTGTCTGTCTAGAAATAAAAAAGAGAAGCACACTCAAAACCCACTTCCAGACTGAACAATAATCTTGGAGAGTTCTGAAATTTTGAGAGTGATACCAGCTTGAGAGCTACAACACCTAAAAATGAGGTTCGTGTACATTTTAATCAACTGGCTAAATATAAATATACCTGATTCATACTTTTAAACTAACAGGTTAAGTCCCAAGTTCCAAACTGTAGTTTATGTGACTCCAGAAGGGCTCTTTGGAAGGGTGCGGAACCTGTGGAGAACAGTGTATAAACAACTGTAAACATACACTGATTGTCCACTAGCTTTCTTAAATAGAGTTCTCAAGTATTCTGTAGGAAATTATATATAAGAGTGTAGTTGATCAGATAATTTCTATAACATATAAATTCTGCTGTATGTGCAAAACGTGGTAGAAAGAGAAGACACTATGTATGATGTTTCATGTTTTCAAAGTGAGTACAGCATTGTAATCCATTAAGAGTCCTTTAATCTTCTCATGAAACTTCTCTCTGTACAGGTTGAAGTACATAATGCTTTCTGGTTCTTCTTCAAGCCAAAACTTGTCAAATTCACAGACAAGGTAACCTGCAATTAAAAACCACACAAACACATTTTCCACAGGAATAAAATTGTATTTAGAGCATCTCATCTTCAGAAAGTACACATCCACCTTGCCAGGGATTTGGCTCAGTGGGTAAGGCTGCTTGGCTGGCAAGCCTGGCAATCTTCGCTCAAATATGGAAAGTAAAGTACAAAACGCACTAAGAGATCCATCTCCCATTACTTTCCTGGATTCCATAGATCTTTAACAATAGAAGGATAAGCATACACTCTGTACTTCAGAGGCATTAGGCTAAAAACTAAACATCCTGCCTTGTTGGGAAGTAACGATGCTCTGGTACTGACTCCTTCTAATACTCACAGTAAAACTGGTGGAAGTGCTCCATTGTTGGTATCCCAGGAACGAAGTTGTAGAGATGAAGCTTCAAGGCTTCGCTCTTGAGTAAGCTATAAGCCATCTCTGTGAGGTTGATCCCAACTATTGCATAAGAGTACCTACGTCAGAAACATCACCAGTTACACAGCTAGCTGCCGGCCCGCAACAAGTGTACAGTGCATAAATCACTTACTAATTCACTCCAACGGTTTTGCTGCTGGCCTAACGCAGGACGCACTTTGCCATAACCTCTCTATATTTAGACAGTCAGAAAGATCCAACGCGTTTGTTTTTTGAAGGCTGTTAATTTTCTGAATAGAAGCTAAGAAGTAAAAATAAGAGTTCCTACCATATAACACCTAAAAACAACCCAGAGAGGGAAGTCTCATTTACCAAGCTTCACTGTTCTGATTATTACATATAAAGCAATATAAAGCTAATAACAAGGTCTCAATTTACATTTCCTTTACCATTTTCAAAGCTGACTCTGATTTTCCTATTTCAATTAGTTTCTACTCCTACTCTGAAATAGTTTTTGAAAAAAATATGAGCCCCTCCATCTTTGTTTTATAAACTATATCATATGATAAAATTTACTGGAATACATAGAACATTTATGATCATATTTCTTTAAAATAGTTAATATCATTTCTATAGTTATCACTTATTAACATAACATCATTTTAAGATTTATATAGTCATTTTCATTGCAACAGTCTAGCTTTTTTTAACGTTTGTCCAGCTTACCCTAATTTGGGATGATTAGAACGGGAAAGAATCTGGTGCGCCTCACTGGTGTACTTTTCACTGAAATACCTAAGCAAGTTCAAGGAAAATGAGGAAATGAAAATGTTCCAATCACAAGTAGCATAAAAACTTCAGTGCAAGCAACTCCCACACTCACAACAACAGCCCTCATCCCACACTCACAACAACAGCCCTCATCCCACACTCACAACAACAGCCCTCATCCCACACTCACAACAACAGCCCTCATCCCACACTCACAACAGCCCTCATCCCACAGCCACTCTGTTCCCCTCTCATGTCACCTCAATGGCTCAATCCTAAGGAGTCAGGCCTGTCAGGGAACACAGGTAGCCTGGCTCTGGGCAAGAGTATTTTACAGAGAACTCACCTACAAAGGGATTTCCAATTCACTGATAAGAGAAAGTCCTAAGTTCCTGTTTGCAAATCTGCTAGTTCTCATCCTACACACTACTCAGAGGGCACCTGCTGGGCCGCCCTTCACTGTCTACTCTCTGCACAAGTGGATGTGTATTTCTACCCCTGCTGACGAGCAGACATTACAGATGGAAGTGAGTCCTGGCCATCTTCACATCAGCCGAGGCCTTAAACACAGTGAAGACAGACCACTGCACTTTGTCAGAGGCAGGAGCAGCCTCTGTGAAATTACTCAGGCCCCGGGCTTCAGTCTACTCGTCTGACGGACACGGGGAAGTGGCTCACATTCCTTGAAGACTATCGTGTGATGTCTCCTTAGGAAGCAGAATTATATAGGACTTTTAAGATTTTAGACATCACCAAAGCATACATGCTTTTATAATGTAAAATAACATATATCTTGAAATCTCATTATGCACATCTTTCCCAACAGTTTTATCCATATTGAACTAAATATTTTTTTCTCAATATTTTCTTAGTTCAATTTCAGATTTTTTTCACAGTAAGAATTATCCAAAGAGTCGGGCAGTGGTGGTGCATGCCTTTAATCACATCACTCAGGAGGCAGAGGCAGGCGGAACTCTGTGAGCTCAAGGCCAGCCTGCTCTACAGAGTGAGTTCCAGGACAGCCGGGACTACACAGAGAGACCCTCTCTAAAAAAAAAAACAAAAAACAAACAAAAAAAAAAAACAAAAAAACAAAAACAAAAAACAGAAAAAAAATATCCAAAGAAATTATTGGCTTCCCATTCTCTACATTATTTGTAGTCTGTAAATCACAGTTCACAGATAAACTGAAACATTGTAGTCTGCACACCTTCATAACTATAGAAGACCTGTATCTCAACCTTCCTAGTGCTGTGATCCACTGATGGTGGTGACCCCAACCATAAAATTATTTTGTTGCTACTTCATAACTGTAATTTTGCTACTGTTATGAATCATAATGTAAATATCTGATATGTGCCCCACACAAATAGGGGTCGTGACCCACAGGTTGAGAACCACTGGTATAAGATCTCACTCTTCTAGTTACTTACTAGAACTGCTGGCTATCAGCTGTGACTCCTAGTGCATATTCTGGGATGTCATGCACACGGCCTGAGTACTAGGGAAAAGGCAAGTGTCACAGCCATGATAGGAGAGGTTCAGGTCACCTGCCAGGGGCAGTGAGGAGCATGTCACCAACCCTGGCTGTCTTCCCAAACGGAATCAGAGCCACCCAGTGGAAACGAGAGGCAGAAACAGAAAGGAGTGTTCATAACATTCTCCAGAGGCAAATGCGTAAGCAGGTGTCAGAAGTGAGGCTGGAAAGAGCAGGGAGGAGGGATGCACTGCACACACTGGTGAGTAGTCACGCAAGTGCACACACACGCGTACACACACGCGTACACACACGCGTACACACACACACACACACACACACACACACATCTAATTGTTACCAGCATCCTAGCAAACATGAGCACTACAGTTATAAAAACTTAGAGTCAATAAGAAACAGCAGGTCAATTTTTACTAGAATTAATAGAAACTGGAAATTACACAGAATTTCTTCAGCCAAGGAAAGGAAACTTGTTTCACTTACACAAGATTGATTAGGCCGAGTATGCCCATGCCTCTGAAGTCTGTTTTGGGATCATCACCTTGGAAACCAATGTCCGCCCACTGCTTAGAGATTCGGGCCTTCAGCTTTTCCGTAGGCATCAGAAGATTCCAGAGCTGTACAAACATGCTTTTGTGTTACAAATAATAGTGGTGTTCTTGGTTTATTGAGACATTTTCCTTTTCTTAGCTTAGATAACTCATAATTGAATACTTTCAGTTCAATAACTTTTAGACAAATTCTAAGACCACAAGGACTGTATTTAAAACATGGTATATCTAGTCCAACCAGAAAGACTGTCATAAAGAATCATTTTTTTTTTAAGTAAAAAACAGGGAAATCTAGAGCAATGTGTTTACTAATCAATGTGTGTGTGTGTGTGTGTGTGTGTGTGTGTGTGTGTGTGTGTGTGTACTAGAATTAAATGGCTTAAGAGCAGTCTTGGGTAAATGGACCCATAATTTGCCTTGACTAGGTTCTACTATAATATTGGGTGGTTAATCTTTAATCCAATAAAATAAAATAAATAGGTCTGAGGGAGGGGACTATGAAGAAGTAATATTAATAAAACTCAAGAGATAAGTGTGTGTGTGTGTGTGTGTATGTGTGGGGGGGGGAGGGAGGGAGAGAGAGAATGAGAGAGAGAGAGACTATTTCATAAAATTTAATTTTTAAAAGAAAAAATGGCTTGGTTGTAACTAAGTAGAATCTTTAACACTAAGTTGTTATCAAGAGTTACTGACTAACAATCTTTCCCTTCATTAGATATGAATATACCAGTCAATGAAAAATAATTAACAAAGAGTGTCCTGTCACCTAATAACCTGTCAAGGCTGTGGCTTTGAGAATCCTGGCCCTGACGCTAAATCCACTTCTTGGACTGGACTTTTTCTCGACCACTCTTACTAGCTCGTTGACACTGATGAGGATGTGACCACAGCAATAAGGCTCTTGATGTGGGCTGCAGTGTAAAGCCACTACTGCTCAGTTTTTAGTTATTTGTTGGCTTGTTTATGGCGATGGTGTCTTGTTAGGTAGCCTAGAGTGATCGTGAACCCCAATCCTCCTGCTTCAATCTTCAAAATTCTGAGGTTATAGTACATGCCATCATATTCAGCTTTTAATACTCAAAATCTAATATCCATAAATACAATTATGGGCTGCCACCTGGAGATTCTGATTTCATAAGGTTAAGGTGGAAGCCTGTATCCCAAAAGTAGACACTGCCAAAAGCAGGTGAACACATACGTCTTTGGATTATACTTAGAACTACTTCATTTCCACAGTTCTCTTCCCAGGATGGCTGAGCAGTGTGGTAAACCTCAGCCAGCCTTGAGGTGGACGAGACCCCCTTTTGTGAATGGATAACTTACATCAGAAGCATTATTTAATTGAATATATTCTAAAAGATACTTATCAAGTAAGTTACTGACCAACAACCTTTGTCTATCAGTGCAGTCTAACACACATCCTCCAAGAGGCAAACAAGTGGGGGGACCACATGAGCTTCCAGAGCCTGCACCACTCTCCCAGCTGAGGCTGACCCCCGCACACCGAGCCAGCACCTACCTTGAGGAGCAGCTTCTCATGCTGCGCATTGCCAGAATCATAGGGTTTTTTCCTCACGTTTTCTACGTCCTGGTAGAGCTGCTTATAGCCAGTTATCTGCAGTAAGCACGTCCTCATGCAGATTTGAAAACTGAAAGGAGAAATTATTAGTTTAAATCAGACCTCTTATCACAATAAAGCAAGGAAAGCCTGTGGGTCATGCTGTGGGATGTTCTGTACGGCAAATGTGTTGCTCTGATTGGTCAATAAATAAAACACTGATTGGCCCGTGGCTAGGCAGGAAGTATAGGCAGGACTAACAGAGAGGAGAAATAAAAGAACAGGAAGGCAGAAAGAGACACTGCCAGCCACCACCAGGACAAGCTGCATGTGAAGATGCCGATAAGCCACGAGCCACGTGGCAAGGTATAGATTTATGGAAATGGATTAATTTAAGCTATAAGAACAGTTAGCAAGAAGCCTGCCACAGCCATACAGTTTGTAAGCAATATAAGTCTCTGTGTTTACTTGGTTGGGTCTGAGCGGCTGTGGGACTGGCGGGTGAGAGAGATTTGTCCTGACTGTGGGCAAGGCATGAAAACTCTAGCTACAGGTTCACACATCCATTTGGAGCAGTTCTCTGACTTTCAAGTTAATACAAGATATACCGAAGGCCACACAGAGCATCACACAGGACTGTGGGAAAACAGGGCTTCGAACACATGCAACGCGTGACTGACTCCATTACTCGCTCACACATTTTCTCTGAGCAGTCCACACACCTCCTAATCTTTACTGCCACAGCCAGAAGAGTATCTGAAATGGATACGAACAACCCACAACACGTTATCCGTTTCCCCAAATACAGGAGCCTACTTTCCCTGGAGCAACATGCTTTCTACAGTAACTCACTCGATAACGGCACACCAAGCTTTAATTCCCGAGAGAGAGCACTTCAAGTTCCAGTCCATCAACATCTAGAAGATCAAGCCTCATCCTGTCTGAAATAACCCTCAGACCAAACTAGAAGGCACTGACTCCCTGCGGGGTTTGTGGCTTTGATGCCTTACCCAGGGGTTCGTTCCCTAACCACTGTCACATGCCCAAAGCCCCTTCAGCTCCCTCACACATCCAGTCCTTCGGTGTGCCGCTGCCCTTTGGTGTGCCCACCACTCTCTGGCTGGCCCCTTGGTGACTCTTGGAGAACCAGGCTACACTGCCCACAGAGGCCACAGTGCAGCCTGTCGATGAAGGACAGGGGGCAGCGCGAGGACTCAGAACAAGTGGCGCACACTGGGGGCTTGAAGAGGACACAGAAACCAAACTCTGAAGGGCAGGAAGGACAGTGGCCAAAGCCATTTAACCTCGGGAGAGTAACAGCACGGGTCTGAGTGGGAGGACTTGGCTCAGTCCTCCTGTGCGGGTGTAGCCCCATGCAGTGAACAGCACACTGGACCTCGGTGCAGTGACCAGCACTCTGGACCTCGGTGCAGTGAGCAGCACACTGGACCTCGGTGCAGTGAGCAGCACACTGGACCTCGGTGCAGTGAGCAGCACACTGGACCTCGGTGCAGTGAGCAGCACATTGGACCTCGGTGCAGTGAGCAGCACACTGGGCCTCAGTGCAATGAACAGCACTCTGGACCTCGGCGCAGCAACCAACACTCTGGACCTCGGCGCAGCGACCAGCACTCTGGACCTCGGTGCAGCGACCAGCACTCTGGACCTCGGTGCAGTGACCATCACTCTGGACCTCGGCACAGTGACCAGCACTCTGGACCTCGGCGCAGTGAGCAGCACACTGAACCTCTGTGCTCATGGGGTGAGAGTGAAAAGCTACATCACCCACAAGCCTTCCCCACCACAGTCCACCTGAGCAGGGCTCTGCATGGCAGGCTACAGAGCACAACACAGTCACAGAAGGAGCACGCACCTGGTGTCTTTCTTGGGGCAGATGTTCTTTTCCTTCATTATGTCTGCTACACATCTGTCCAGTTCACTCTCAGCAACCCGTGTTGCATTCTGGAGGACCTAGTTATGGAGAAACAGCTGAATGAGAGACTTCCCCATGAACGGACACTGAAGTCTGTTTTGATACATAATCAACTTTACAAAAAGAAACCAACCATATTTCCTTCAGATCTCCCAAGAGCTGGAATCATGTACATCTTTGTGGTTTTCTAAAAGCCTCCTACCCACACTCAGAAAAGCAACCCTAATTAAACTCAGTGGGTGAAAAAGAAAGAAGTCATGGAAGTGGGAGGGGCTGCTGGGGAAGACCCGCACGTACAGGAGGTAGACGAGCGCGGGAAGAATATGGCCACGAAACACTGTACATGTTTATGAAATTGTCAAAAACGATGTTAGCATTTTAAAAAGGAGCAGCAGCAGGCTCTAAGAGCTGACTTCCTGTCTCCATCCTGCCCTCCCTTCCCGCATCCAGTTCTCCAGGGCTCCTCGCTGGCAGCTTCTCTTCCCAGAGAACTGTGTCAACAGCTTGAAAAGGTGATCATTCTGTGCGGCCTGCTTCTGGTCTTCCGATAACTTCCTCGATTGTCCAGCTCTCTTAAAAGACCGTTTGAGGCCCTCCCTCCATTTCTGCATAAGTCTCCAGATGAGCGTGTTGGTGGCTCCAGAACGTACTCAATGAGATTCGGATTAAAATTTCACAAACTCATAGGTCAATCTGGAAGTAACATTTTAGTAGTAATGAGTCTTTTCATGGATGAATACCAGGCTTCATTTTATTTCTTTTTTTCTCAACAATTTCTCCACAAGTTTTAGGGCTGAAGACTAAGTATTTCGCTAAAACCCTTGGGCGCTCTGCACTCCCGGCTGCTGTGGTAGGTGGCAATGCTCTTCCGTGGTCCAACAGTTCATTGCTAACACAGACGGCAGTGAGCTACCTGCTGAGACTGTTCAGTTTGCTTCTTAACACACAGCGGGGCCTCGGAGGACTCCAGGACTGTCCACATTCTCAGACTGCACCTCTGTTAAGAGTTCTTTCTGGCCGACTATGTCTTGGGTTTTTCTTTGCTGACTGTGGTTCCCAGGATTTCTAGTGCAATGATGCTGAACACAGCGTATCTGTCATGCTTCCAACTAAATGTGGTAAAACATTCACTACAGAAAAGTTCTCTGTAGTGCCAGCTGCAGGCTGTCTGCGGCCTCCAGTGGACTGAGGGAGCTGTGGCTCTTCTAGTTGGGACAGAGTTTTTAATCACGAGCAGATTTTTCAGTATCTATCAAAACAATCATATTTTCTGACTCTATTAATGTGGTAATAAATTATTCTCACTGATTTTAAACTTCAATCATAATATGTTATCCTCTTAATGTGTTACTAGGATCAATTTGCTGATGTTTTGTAAGGATTCTTGCATCATATTCACAAAGGGTACTGAGTTGTACTTTTTATTTATATGTCTTTATTTGGTTTTAGTCTGTCCTCAAAAAAAAAAAATGCTTATTTCACCTGTATATCCAAGGACTTTCTGTTAACAATGGCACTGTTTCCTCTTCCATAAATGTTTGGTAAGAATTAATTAGGCCAGGTTGGAGAGAAGGGTCAGAGGTTAAGCGCACTGGCTGCTCTTACAGAGGACCTGGGTTCAATACCCAGCATCCACCCGGTGGCTCCCAAGCATCTGTTACTCCAGCTCCAGGAATCTGATGCCTTCCTCTGACCACTGTAGGCCCCAGTGGTACAAAGGTATGCATGTAGGCAAACACTCATAAAAATACAAAGGCTCAGACGTCTTAATAAGAGAATAATCGGGCCAATGCTGGAGATTTTTGAAAACATTTTAAATAAGAAATTTCATTTCTTTTTTTGAATATACGGCCACCTAGATTTTTTGTTTATTTTTATATTAGTTGATAAACAAGATTTACCAGCATGAAGTTGCTCACAGAACTCCAGAATATGGTGACATCTTTTCTACCTTTCTTTACACTGGGAATATTGGTTTTCTCTCATACTTGATCAGTTATTAGAGATTATTGATATTATTAATCTTTTTAAAGAATTAGCTTCTGAGTTTGTTGGTAGTGTCTACTTTTGTCTGTTTCACTATTTCATTGATTTTTTTTGCCTTATTTTATGAGTTCTTCAACTTACTCTATGCTTAGTTTCTTCTCAGATTTCTGAAGATGTAAATATAGATAATTGGTTTAGGTCTTCTAAATTTGCTTTGATAAGCTAAGCAAATGTTGATATGTTGTGATTTCAGTTCAATTTTCTTTCTCTGTTTCCTACCAAATTCTTTGGGATTACTGCAATATTTATAGTCCAGATATTGAAGATTTTCATATTTTAGCAGCCATAGGATGTAAATTATAAGTAGTCCTAGTCTGTAACTGAGTAAGTAAGACTTAATCTTTAACAATCAAAGAAGTTTCAACTGTCAAACAATTTACAATCCACCACAATCTTCCTTTGAGATTACTGTTGGGGATAGGCCTTAATAGATTGAAATTGCTGTTATTCATAACAAGCACTGGAAATGCAAAGTATTTAAATATGTAAGAGAGTTTCATGGATGCTTTAATCCTCTCAAATTCTTGTAGTGTCCACTGGTTTAATTATACTATCGTCAATATTACCAACATGTATTCTCTTATGCTGATTCATATTAATGTCTCTAGTCCTCAGACATCGCATGGTGCTGATCAGAGGACAAGCAAACGGTACTAAGTCAAACAAGTAGGAAGAAATAATATCAGAATTTTGTTCAGATTTTTTCTCATGTAATAAAATGCAGAGGTAGCCAATGAAAATACCACAAGATCAGAATTAGGTTTTTCTCTTGAAGTAAATGTAATGTGTAAGATGTACACAAATTGCATGTGCAAGCTGACAAGCCTGTCTCCATGCACTAACAAACTTGCTTTTGGGTTCAGGCTTCAAGCCAACAAAACATCTGTGATTTAACTGAGGCCAGGGGCTGTTTGCTGCTCTCTTTACAGTGTCCTACAAAACATCAGGGTTTTACTTTTTTGTTTCTTTTGTTTTCTGAGTCAGGGTTTCTCTGTGTAGCCCTGCCTGTCCTGGGACTCCCTCTGTAGACCAGGCTGTCCTAGAACTCACAGAGAGCCACCTGCCTCCACCTTCCGAGTGCTGGGATTAGAAGTGTGCACTACTACCACCCAGCAGTAGTTAATTTTTTTAATGGTGAGATCAAAGAATACAACTTGAACATTCATATTTCAAGTGAGATTAAAAAAAAACTAGTAAATAAGGTAAAAATTAGCACGTTACTTTCTGTTTATTTAATACACTCCTGTCGAGTCGCGACCACCTTGAGGGTCAAATGACCCTTTCACAGGGGTCGAATATCAGACATCCTGCATATCAGATATTTACATTACGATTCATACCAGTAGTAAAATTACAGCTATGAAGTAGCAATGAAAACAACTGTGTGGTCGGGGCCACCACAGCATGAGGAGCTGTGTTACAGGGTGGCAGCGTCAGAAAGGGGGGCCCGCTGCTCTAAACTGTGTTTATACCTTCCTTCTCTGCATCACTCTTTCCTCCTACTGAGAACTGCTTCTTTATCAATCACTGAAGACCCTGGGAGAATGCGGAAATGCGGTCATCAACTCCTTGCTGAGATTCGCCTGCATCTTATCTCCTATCCTACTTCTACCTAGTTGAATTGGAACAGACATAGAATCTCACTATTAGTGTCTGGACCACAAGACGCTGCTGCAGCTGATCCTCCTTACAGCGCCTCTGCCGCAGCACGGGTGCTGAGTTCAGGTTCTGTACCTTCTCCACTAGAGCTAGCAAAGGCAGCAAATACCACACGTCCGTGTGGAGAAAGCAGAGGCTGCACTTCCAAACCACTCATCTTCGCTTCGTTTGTCTCAGAGCGTGTTACACACCAGGAGCTGGTGCAGACTCGAGGGGCACAGACGTAAACAACCAACACTATGCTTCGTTTTGTTTCTTTGGGGCAGGAGAAAATGGAGAAATAAAAAAGTAAAGCGCTGCACAAGGAAGGCAGAAGGACGGGGCGGCTGCGGGCCACAATTCCAAGCAGAGTGCTCAGAGTGCTCAGGAGGTCAGAACCGGACGAAACTGGAGATGGCGCAACTTAAGCTTTGAATGGGAGACCCACACTCTGGCTCTCATGGCAGAGGCCCGGCGGCAGGTGGGGCTTTGGTTTGGAGCAGCAGGGGCCCAGACTGGGCAGCGGCAGGTGTCAAACACGAGAGGAACACGCTCCTCAAGAGCTGGGCAAATGCTGGGGCCCAGGGGACGGTGTGAGAACTGTCACACTTTTACAACCTGCTTTCCAGGCCCCAAGGAAGCACCTGCCAGAGGGTGACTCATTCTCAAATACTCCCAGACTTACGGCATCCATTGGTCTTGCTCCGCATCCATTGGTCCGTGTGGAGTACACGGCTTCTTACAGAAAGAATGGAGCAGTCAGGACACAGGGCTGTCCCTCCAAGTAGGGCCCTGGCTTGCAGGACAGTGTCACCAAGGAACCAATACATCAGAAACAGAATCAGGATTTCCACCAAGCTTCCAGAGGGTTGGGGCTGCTGAATTTGAACCTGTTGTAACAGTTTTGAAATATGGTGTGTCCAAGTAGGTCTGCTACAATGCACAGGCTGCTGTGGGACCTGCCTGCTATCTTTCAACGGCAAGAACTCCGTGTCCGTGTCCATGTCCATGTGCGTGTGTGTGTGCGTGCTTGAGAATTAAACAAGAGCTAGAGCAGAAACACTCAAACTTTCAGACGTCACATTCTCATGGGAAAAAAAATCACTTTAGGATACTGAACAAAAGACAACTCTATACTCCTCCCCAGTGTTCATCTACGTGGATATGAGTTGTTTGTTCTCATACATTTAACTCATAAATGAGATCGTACCTAAACGAGCAAGCCCCACTTTAGCGGTAACCCTCCAGAAAGAAGCGCATCGGCTTGCAGAATCCAACACCCTTGTTTCCAGCAGCGACTCTTACCAACACTCGCAGACAGAGTCATGCGCACGTGTTTATTATGATTCACAGTTTACATTACGACCAAGTGTAAGCATATATATGGATATCTAAAACACAGATAGACACATAGCTAACCGAACTAAAAATGTCATAAAATGGTATTTCATCTTATTGTGAACAGTCATTTCTAAGTATTTTCTACCCTTCTGTCACTGTTTAATGCTGGCCATCATATCTGAACACGGTTTCAAACAACGGTCTCCATGGCCTGCGAGTGTGTCTCTGCCACACCAGTAATTCTTACACAGGAAACACTGTGACCTAATGTTAACTCTAGCTGGCTAGTTCTTAGTTTTCCAACTAACACAGCATCAAAAGCTGTGACTAACGTGAGGCAGACTGGCATATTGGTCCTGACTTCCCATCAACCGCAAGTCAGGTATACAACCACTTGCCTGCCTTAGCGTTCGGGGGTGCAGAAGGCATTTGAGGAGTCTCTGCTGTGCACTTGGCCACTCATCTACACCCGTAGGTGCAAACGGAGATGGCACCGCCTGCGGGCCTCTGGGGAGTTACTAGGAGACCATTCCCTCTTGCCCACTGAGTCCCACACCTGGACCTACAGTAAGACAAGTGGGACAGGCGTGAGGAGGAGACACCCGCCTGATGGACGGCCTTTGCAGGGGACCCTCGTGCGCATGAGCACACAGGAACACCGCTTTCCCCTGCAGCTTTGCACTCGTTTCTGACACAGCAAAAGCTGACAGCCACAGGGCGCGAGCTGGGACGCACCTTAGATCAAAAGGTAAACATGCAAGGCCCTCTCCACCCAAAACTGCTTTGCTCTTCTCTCACGACCTACCCTGAGGACACAGTCATGGGGAGGGCTTTCTCCAGCTACTGGTCCACCAAAAGCTACAAACTGCTACTGCAAAATAAACAGGAAAGCCTCAGAATAGGACACAGAGTTGAAATACTCTTCTGTTGTCAAAACACAGAAAGAAAGTATTTTGAAAACATAATTACTACTTCTAAAATGAGAAATTTTTTGTTTGCTTGTTTTTGTTTTTATTTTTCGAGACAGGGTTTCTCTGTGTAGCTTTGTGCCTTTCCTGGAACTCACTCTGTAGCCCAGGCTGGCCTCGAACTCAGAGATCCACCTGCCTCTGCCTCCCGAGTGCTGGGATTAAAGGCGTGCGCCACCACTGCCCGGTGTGTAAAATGAGAAAATTTAACTCACCGTTTCTCATAGCAAAACAGTAAATGTAATCCTAAAGTCAAAGTGTTCTGTTTAAAGAAAAAACATGCTTAGATTAAGTTTTCTACAATCAGCATTTTAATGTGCCCTTACCTTACTCTTGGAATATGTCAAGGAATTTTCTGAAATTAAAAAAAAAAAAAGTTATCACTTGAATATATTTTCTGAATTAGACCAAAATCAAATAGTAAAAATATAACAGCAATGATAAGTCACTCTCACAGTTTAAAATACAATTTCTACAGGAGCAACCATCTCAAAGTCTTACAGGACAGAGAAGGAGGTGGAATGATTCCCCCAAACACAGTACCAAGCTGGTGTCAATCAATTTCCCCAAATATTCTGTTTCTCTGCAGACCACCAGAATGAGGTGTCTGCCAACAGCTCAGATCTCAGACATCCATCTGGAGACTGCTCGCCACCACCTTCTCTCCAGCGTCAGCCCGAGTGAGTGGCCAGCCACTGAACAGCACAGGAACAAAGGGGCAGAGCCTAAACTGTCTGCCAAGAGCAGACAGCCTCCGCACCCCTGGCGTTTGTTCCAGGACTGACAGGAATATCTGTGGTCGTCTGTTTAAAAAGAAAAAGTTCTGGTACACTGAGAATGCTCTCCTTTTGATAATTTTAAGAAAAATGCTTTTTGCCTCAAAGTAAAGCCTTGAAAATGCTCTTCCACATACTGTAAAAGGCCAACCAGTGCAGCCCTCAGAGACCTGTAGCAAGAGGCACTTGGATCTTCTCAACAGGCAAGAGGGGAAATCAGGGAGTGTGCACTAGCCTCAACCAGCCAGTGGCCACGAAAACACTTCTGCCATTTTTCCAATGCCAGCCTGGGCACAGGGCCCACTGCCTGGGCCTCACTCCCTGGGCCCTAAGGATATTGATTTCTCATTTGAAGCATTCTTGATCAACACAAAATAGGAACTGGTTAATTCTCAATTTTCCACTTAACACAACATCATGAGCTGTGGCTCTGCCCAGGTCTTTCTTACTAGGGCCTAAGGTGACTTCAAGCCACATTTTTCAACCATCTGAGTTTGAAGTCAGAGTAATATTTTTAATTAAACATTGAAAAACTGTCATTTGGCAGAAATAAAATGTAAGCCAAACTGAGCCCATATACCATAAAAATTTCCACGGCTACATTAAATCAAAAAGAAATACATGCAATTTGTATAACTTAACAGATCCAAAATATTATCACTTCAACATAGTACAAATACAATTGTGACATCCTTACACTTTTGTTCATACAAAGACTTTGAGATCCACTGTGTACCTTATGGGTACAGCTCAACCCAGTTGACATCATGAATACTTCAAGTGCTCACTAACCATGTGGTTATCACTGCGAGTCTGGCCCAGGTAGGTTCTAATAATCTTTCCTAGGACCAAGCAGTCTGCCCATTCACGAATAAGAGTCAGAAGGGAGAAGACTGTAAATGAGGCCCCAAAGCAGGAGAAGATACCAATCCTTCCAATCTTTTCATCATATATTTGTGTAAAAATTTCAAATGGAAGAAAGAAGAATAATTTTCTAGTAAACAATTGCCAGTATAATCTGAAGAATAATTGATACTTCTTTGTTTGTTTGTTGTTGTTTTTCGAGATGGGGTTTCTCTGTGTAGCTTCAAAGCCTGTCCTGGAACTAGTTCTATAGATCAGGCTGGCCTCAAACTCAGAGATCTGTCTGTCTCTGCCTCCCGAGTGCTGGGATTAAAGGTGTGCGCCACCACCGCCAGGCCTAACTGATACATTTTTAAGAAACTCCAAAGATTCATTCTTTGGGTAGATATAAAAAGTTTCTTTTTATATACAGCTTTTCAATGTTCAGTAGTCAGTAGTACAGTGAGGATTCAAAGACCACAAAGCTCACGAAACTCAGGTGCAATAACACAAGTACATTACCACTGGATAGACAGAAAGAATTTAATAACATTTTTATTAATCTCCAATTTTTCGATTTTGAATGGCATTACCTATCCTGTATGTCCTCTGTGCGCCTCCATAGGTGTCGAAAATTCGCTGCAATTCACATTTTCCAGTCATCTGTCGTAAGACCCATTTCATCCAAAATCGGAAAAAGTGCCCATAGAAGAACTCCCACAAAGAAATAAACATTTTTCCTGGAAAGTATATAAGAACACAAGCTTAAAGACCTTAAACTGAAATTTTAAAACTGAAAAGCAAATTAAGTTCATCCAACTCCCCAGATCCCAAATTTTTTTTTTTTTTTTTTTTTTTTTT